CGCTGGGAGCCGGAGTCCCGCTGGGGCGTGACGCGCCGCTGCGGTCTTACGAGTTTCAGACACGTGGCCTCACGGGCTTTTCCAGGCGGAGGAAGCTGAGGGAAGGATTAGGGACCGCTCTGTTGGCGAGCTACAGATGGAACAGTCAGGTCCGTAACGCTCCCAGTCGCTTCAACGGGGCGTCACGTTATCGACCGTGCCTGGCAAAGCAAGGCCGCTGCTCTGCCGCGGATCCTGGTGGGTTGTTTAAGCCATCCGCTCAGGATCGGAGTCGTCACTGAAGAGCAGAGAAAAGCATGAATTTCAGCAACCCAAGCAGTCAACTTTTCCCGACTCTGGTATTTGTAACAGTGTCCCAGAGAAAGCTGGGTAAGCTTTCCTCACCGTAAGCACGCAACCGCTGGGGAAACGTGCGTGGCAGGAGTCGCAGGCCCTACCAAAAACAATCCTGGGAACAGCCGAGATGGAGACACTGCCATTTATTAACAGCCTTCCTGATTACACTTCTATTCCTGAAAAGAAAAATAGGATCGCATCCAAATCTAGGAATCCCGTTACTGTTCAATCCTGGGAACAGGACGTTGTTAAGTTGGACCACTGTTACTACTTTCCACACACTTGAATGCTTAAAAATGAGGTCAAATAATGCAAACGGGGGACAGATTGCATGTTGACCATGGCAGGTTGTTACTCACCACACACCAATCTCCCAATAAAAATCCCCGACTAAGAAAGTTTTCCCTCTAAATTAAATTTATAAAACTCCCTGCGGTTGGCTTGGCCACCCAGTGGTACAGGAATTGCTCCCAGGTTTCTTGATGCTTCACTTGTCCGGCCTTGGGCGCACCCTGGAACCCAAGTCCCTGGAGGCAGGAGCCGGCTGTTTTCTCCTCAACACCATCCGCCGAGCGACACGGGGCTGGCCACAGTCCGCCGGAAGCACCGGCTCGCGAGGAAACGGGAAAGGTGGCCAGGCGTCACAGGGAGCAAAGAGGAAGCGCCGGTGGTTGCACAGATCCTCGCGACACAGCTGAGCCCGGTCTGGCAGGAAACCCCCGCCAATCCCAGCGAGGGCGGCACGGAGGACACGAACCAGACCGCGAGCGCGTCTCCAGGGCAGCACCAGTCCCGTGAATCACCTGCTAGAAAAGGTTCAGTGTCTCGTCTTCAGTGCTCGTTTAACTACGGTTCTGTACATTATGTACAAAAAAATGCACAGGGATTGCTGCGCGGCGCTTCCCGTCCCTGCTCCTCCGCAGCCGTGGAAAAGATTTTAAAACCCCGAGTCTGGACTTATAAATAGTGCAGAAAACGCAAACGCCAAGAAGACAATGCCTCCTATGATCGTCACTGAAAAAGAAAGAGCAAACCAGAAAGAAATTAGACGCTGCACATTAAACATCCTCCACATAACGGTTTGGCTTTGGGTTTTTTTAACGTCCGACTCCCAAACACTCTTACTTTAAATTTTAGGCTGCAGAGAGTGGGTGCTGTTTCCAGCTCGGCGTCAGGATGGCCACCTGTCGCCCTGCTGTCTAAGCACACCCACAAGAACATGCCCCGCTCCCTGCGAGGCAGCTTCGGCTCATTACCTCAGCTCGGTCACAAACGGAGGTTGGCGCCTGCTGCCGAGTACGTGGCTGTACGGGGGAAGTAAGATACGACACTCTCACACTGGAGCAAGCCACCCGTTAAGTGATGTGCTAATTAGCACTTTTTTGGCACTGTTTAAGCAACTATGTTGAAAGAGACCGTGTCAAAAATATCAACTGCTTGCAATGGCCACAACCTGCTGGAGGGTGGGGCAGTATTCTGCAAGCAGCACTGGATTCGGACCGTTCCCCTACTCCTCTCTCAACAAGCTAGGTGGAGCTTTGGTCTAAGCTAAGCTATTCCCGCGGCCAAAGATCTGCGCTGGGCTTGTCAGGAGCACAGGAAAGCTCCTTTAGATCAGCACCTCGCCGTCAGCGTCCCTGGGGAACGCACAAGACCACGCACGCTTCGCTTCCTGCGGCGAAGTTGGTTTTTCACCGTCGCTGCAAACTACAGAACAAATACTCTGAATGAACCGGAGGGAAGCAGCCCCGGAGAATCCCTCCTGGGAGCAAGAAATCTCGCTGCATCGCAGGACGGACAGCGGCAACAAACCGCAACCTCATCGAAGGAGAAGAGGTAAACAACCCAGGGTAACCTTCCTGGTACTTCCTGTTACAGGCAGGTGGGATTAAAAAAACCCCACATTTATGCCATGTACAGCGTAGCTTTTCAAGCTTTTACAGGCATAAGTTGTAAGCATGAAGTTCCCTTGCCCATCTGAAGGTCTGCACTCAGAGTTACGACAGAATTTGTATTACCCGCTGTCGAACGATACATACCGACTACTCAAAATACCGGATCTCCTTCCTTTTGCCAACAGGGAAGCAAAACGTGCTTCCCCTGTGTCCATCGCCAGACCTGGAGCTACACATTTTGGTTCCTTAAATCAGAGCCAGGAAGCCATTAGGTTCAGTGAAGGACAGAGCTCAGTGAAGGACAGAGCTCGGGCTCTGCCTGGCAGGAGGGACGTGGAGCACAGGGTCACCCCCCGCGAGGGGAGCTGCCTACGGGGTGGGGAGGAGGTGGGATGGAAGACAGACTCCATAAAAGAAGAGTTTTTGGCGTTTGGAGATGTTTCTCGAAACGCCGTTCGCACGCACGTCGTCGTTCACACCACAGACGTTACTGGAATTAACGGGGTTGGTTTTGGCCAGAGTGAGTTTCCACTTACCAGTCCTAACAGAAATTTTTTGTGCTATCATTCTCCCTCCAATAACCGCTAAACCAGTGCACAGGCAATGTCCCACTGTCCCTCCTACTGCCACTCCGTAGGGGTCCTGAGGGGAAAAAAAACCAGAAGGGAAACATCAGAGTTGAAAACCATGAGTCCGACACCCTCCTGCCTTGATTTCTCAGCTGTGCGCTGGCCAGCATGGAAGATACTCCCTGGTGTTTGCTCTGCTCTCCATCACTGCCTTGAAGATCACTAACGGTGGACATCAGCTAGCAAGGCAGACTTAAATCTAAATCTGACTAATACAGGAGCATATGGCGAGTTTCAACCACACAGCATCTCCAAGTTGTTAAATATAGACCCTGAAATCGTGTTGCTGTACTTAACAATTAAGCAACCTCTAGAGGGAAGGTGGCAGCTGTTGAAAACACAATGTGCATCAGCTGGAAGAACACCAACCTAAGTATAAACCAAGAGAAAAACAAACCCATGAACTGCAAATGAAAGCTTTCAGCAGCCAAAACATTCTGACTCCTTTGGCCCCCAGTCCCAGTGATCCAAGGAGGGAAATAGAAAAGAATTTAAGTCCAGAGAATAATAAACTCTTTTCAAAGTTTACCGGCAACGGAAGCTTTCACATAAAAACAAACAGCTACTCCATAACTGAACTACTCTACTACATAAGTTTCTCAGATCTCCTTACAAATGTGTGGAGCATATGTATGTGTGCTGGGTTCAGCCAGGAAAGAGTTAACTCTCTTTACCGTGGCTGCTAGGAAGCTGTTCCTGGATGCAGAGAGCAGCACTGATCAGGTCTCAGCTGGCGCTGGGCAATGCCTGCACTGAATTCAAGGTCTTTCTCCCCTTCTGACCCTGCAGCTGCATTCCCAGCTCTCGCTGTCTCCCTACAGGCAGTGCTGGGACACACAGTTCAGACACCTGACCCCAACTGACCAAGGGAGTATTTCATCCCATAGTACGTCATGCTGGGGGCAGAGGCGAGGAGGGGGTCCGGGGGCAGTTACTCTCTCCCTTACTCTCTCTCGTTCGCTCCCGTACACTTGCTGACCCTCTCCCTGACTCCTGCGTTAGCTGCTTTGCTCACTCCTGTGCTGGCTGGTTCGTGAGGGAGTTGTTTGTTTGGTTTTCCCAGTCGTGCTGTCGCTGACAGCGTTCGCTTGGAATCTGCCGCAACAGTTCTCAGGCTCCAGCCCTCGGGCTGCTGATCTCGGGCTCTCTGGGTCTGACTCTCACTACTCAGCACCTGTTGTGCACTGGTCAGTGGGTGAGGAGGAATTGTATCATACAGAATCATATGTTTTATTTTCTATTGTTTTAATAATTTATTAGTAGTAGTACTTGTATATATTAATTTAGATTTAATTAGTAAATAGTTCTTATCTCAATTTCATGAGCTTCCTTATTTCTTTTTCCTCCAATTCGTCCCCTCCACTGGAGGAGGGGAGGGGGATTTGTGAGAGCAGCTTTGTGGTTTTTGCTAGCCAGAGTTAAACCACGACAGTATGGAACAACAGAGGAATTCAGCATCAGCAATGGAAATCAATCTCTTAATGACAGATGAAGAAGGCAAGGTAGGAGCGTGACTCTCTGCTGTACCAAGACGAATGACAGGCAGTGGAGCTGAGGCCCCTGCGCATCCCTAAATGAGACTTTTAGCTCCAAGAGGGAAAAAAACTGCTGCCTTCACATGAGGAACGTGTGAAATCCCTAGCAGGCAAACAGCAAAACTACCTAGGAAATGATACAGCGTGAAGAAACAGACAACACCCAGCGGCCAAGAGAACCCAAACCACAAGCCAGTGAGAAAAGGTGGCGAGCACCAAGCAGAGGACAGGTAGGGAACACATGGGTTCTTCTGTTACAGAGATATGTGGGTCGGCAGCAGGGCTGTGCCAGCAGAAGCGCTTCCAGAATCGGGAGCAGGACCCTAAGTTCCTGGAAATCCCTGTTTCCCTTCTGTCAGCAGTTACCTGTACAGCCCCCACTGGCAGAGGGTAGATCTCACCTCCCCCATCCCATCCCATCTCTGCATAGAGATAAATTCTTTCCTCATAAGCACTTCTGCAGTACTTCTGCTATACAACTGAGGACTTCTCAAACAAGGATTTATCTGAATGTGTCATGAAACAAAGGGGTATAAAAGAATCCCACAGATAAAATGAGAACAGATCCAGATCATACTCATTCACTGATTGTGAAAGCCAAGACCAAGATATCTTCAATTCATTTTTGGTGGTATTCGTTTTCATAGCACTTACACAAACACTTCATATGCTCAAGGCACAACATGCACAGTCTTTCGCTGCGATGCTCAGCACGTCAGAGATCAGACCGCAGAGTCTGATGAACACTTCTTGATGGGACATAGAAAACGCGACCCAGATGTCAGCCTCCTCCTGTGAGAAGATGGGCCTCAGCATCTTGCCCAGCACCATCTAAAATCCCGGGCAGAGGCAGCAGTAACTCCTCATTTTCCAAGATGGCATGTAACTGCCTGAACAGTGAGATCATCTGCTCCTCCTGCTGTTCCTGGCCTCATTAGCTCTAAGCACCTTCCCTGCACTGTAATAAGGACAAGAAGTTCCTATAGACTACAGCCTCCTTCATTACGCTGCCCTGATTTATCCCTAGGGAAGGTCTGAAAATGCAATGAAAGAAGCACGAGTGCTAGGGAAAAAATGGAAATTATCTCCATGCATGAAAGAGCACAGGCAAGCTACTTCTGTTTCTTACAAGGCTGACTATAAGCCTTAATTTTCCTTTAAATATAATACAATTGTATACATTCCAATCATCATGCTGAATATAATTTCATTTACAATATTAGTTACTGCACAGGAGTTCAGAATTTATTTTAGTTCTCTACACTGTACTGCATTCACTTGGACTTTTAAAAAGACGTATCTCTGCAACAGCTTTGCGCTTGCAGGGATGAAGGATCTCTTTTTAAAGCTGCCGTGTCAAAACTGTGTGACCACACCCATCAAAGAAAAAGAAGTTTCCTAACATCTCTGTACCAGAAACAATTGTGTTCAGCAGCGGGATACAGAACAACTATTTCCAGAAATGCCTGTGCAGTCCCAATCATCTAACAACAGTTGTAATAATACACGGAGCTCCAGCACATTTATTTTCAGGTCTGGGCACAGCTGTAACGCTACGTAAGGCACAGGAAGGCAGCAGGTGTGAGCCTGATATTTTGTCTCCCTCTTCTCTGCCAGCAACCCAAAGAGGACAAAAGCACAGTGGGCATTCTGCAACACTCACCTCTCTGGCAGCCAAGACTATGGTTGTTAATTGGGAACGATCACCCCATTCTGCTAAAAACGTTAAAGTAAAAGCTTGAACAAAGATTGGAGAAATAAAATGTAGCCACTTCTTCTGAGGGATTGTGGTGCCCGGCCCCGATTCCACATCTCCCGGCCCGTTTAACAGTTTAGTTCTCTGAAGCTGTGGAGGACAAGGGAAAAATAAAAACATCATACCATAATATTAGAAATATCATCTAAACAACCCAAATCAATTGAACTGTAATGCTAGACATCTGGTATCTGGTGTGTTATTAGCCACTGACTGCTGCATTGTCAATGTATTATTTGTATTAGAGACCTTTTAAAAAAATCTAGCTACACATATGCACACGCACACACACGTGTGTACACACACACGCCCATACATACCCCTGTAATCACCTCCAACCTCCACTTACTGTCCATCCTGTACCACTTGCACTGCAGTTTCAGCAGAAATGACACCTGGTTTCTAACCACAGAGTTCCTCCTATTTTTAAAGCAGGGATCTCCCTCTTCCCAAATGCTGGCTCTCAAATTAGGATTTCATAAAATTAATGGGAAAAAAAAGAATCTTGAAAGACATAGGATTAATAATACCATTATTAACCACTATTCCTTAGAAGTGGACCAGTATATTTAGAAAGCTGTTACAACAGAGACCTTTGCTGCAACACTGCAAACCTCAGCATTAAACTGAAACGGGTTTAAATTGAAAGTGGGGAGGTTCAGATTAGATATCAGGAAGAAGTTCTTCCCGGAGAGGGTGGTGAGGCACTGGGACAGGTTGCCCAGAGAAGCTGTGGATGCCCCATCCCTGGAAGTGTCCAAGGCCAGGCTGGATGAGGCTTGGAGCAACCTGGTCTAGTGGAAGGTGTCCCTGCCCATGGCAGGGGGGTTGGAACTAGATGCTCTTTAAGGTCCATTCCAAACCAAACCATCCTATGATTCTAGGATTACTCTGCCTGGAGAGGCAAGAGTAAACTGTTGATGTCCTCTGTGCTAGTAATGCATTAAAAAAGTCAACCTCTTTTTTTCCTAAGAAGCCAGGCCTGCCTCAGAACCGAAATCACCTGTTGAGACAGCTTCCAGGGGCCACTTCTGTCCCACTTACCAGGCGTTTTCTGTGTCAGCTTACCGGTCGCAGACACATGACATTGCTGTTCTGCAGCTTCATCAGCTATAATTCACAGAAAGTTTATGACTTACTTCCTCATCTTTTTTTTTAATTTCTGCTTGAACTTCCTCCAGCTCTTCCTGACCCTCATCTGGACTCATTTTCAAGCCTTCCCGAAGCATTCGGATGCCAAAAATTGCAAACAGTGCCGTCGACACATAGTACGTGTACACACGAGGAATAACGGTGGTGGCATAGCCAAATAAAACTGGAAAGAAAGCAAATGCATCATTTAAAAAAATAAGCATGAGGATCATAATTGTTTTTCCCATAACTAAGAAATGCTCACTAGCAAAGTCTGATTCAAATATCTACTGTTAAATAAATATTGAGCCTTTTGTTAGCTTTATACAATTTTTAATTCTTTCTTTCTGCAAGGTAACAACACTGTAGAAACTCCCACCATTACTGCTGTAACAGAGACTGGAGTCTATTATTATTGCCCCATCCCTGGATGTCTTCAAGGCCAGGCTGGACGAGGCTTGGAGCAACCTGGTCTAGTGGAAGGTGTCCCTGCCCATGGCAGGGAGGTTGGAACTGGAGTCTTTAAGGTCCCTTCCAACCCAAACCATTCTGTGATGCTATGATTAACGTGCAGACAAGGCACACCAGGCAAAGCTGATGTGCTGCTATTCCCAAGAGCCAGTCCAAGCAACAGTATCTTTCCCATCAAGGACTAGGCAAGTCCTGCCCTTCTCCAAGCACGCCATGAAACTATAATCTCTAACCGTGTCAGATTAGTCACTGTGTATACCAGTAAATTCCACTTTCATCTACAACTACATGCTGGACAGCATCCCTAGTCAATCATTTCATTTATCAGATAAAGTCAGAATAAGATTTTCTACAAATTAAATCTAGTAGACACACCCACAGATCGCCCAGCTGTGCGAATCCATGCCTGCCTTCTTTTCCCAAGTGCAACTACCTGCACGTTCCTATTCCCTTCTCTCCCACATTCCCTGAAACACACAATGTGATCGCTTTTAATATTCCCTTAATTTAAAAGTACTGATCCCACTCAAAGACCAAAAAGCTGCCTCCACAGTCCATCCCACTTTTACAGGTATCAAAGGCGATCAAACTAAAGCCAAAGCTAGGTCTCAAACAAGAATAAATATGCATCCAGGACAAAGCACTTGCTTCTTCACAAAGTAAGACTAGCTAGCCTTTTTGGACAAAAAAGGCCTGTTTTAAGTGAAAGGAAATTAAAACTCCACACCAAACATTTAAGCTGCTTGGACCGTGCACTGACAACTGTTTCTGTTGTTTACTCCACATGCAATTAGCTAACAGGAAGCATATTACCGTGTGTGTTTGCTTAGACACACTGTCTTAGTTGAAAAATGTATTCCAAAGTTACTACGTAATCCGGAAATTAAGCCACACTGCCACTACCAAAAGTAAACCTGAGTCCAAAATTAATCAAGCTGCATGTGAGAAAACAAGGGCACATACGTATACGAAAAACAGTATTAGTTGCACAGCTAAATAAGAAAAGGAGTTAAACTCAGCTTATTTTTTAAGACTGGAAATATTAAAGTGAAGCAATGCAAGAAACTATACAAAAAGAGATTATTTTTAGCATTACTTGCATGTACAAGCAAAGAAATAATGAAATAATCAGAACGATAAGGCAGGCTATTTTGTCGTAAGATGCACAGCTTGAATAAACACCCCAAGTAGTGATTACTTGGAGCAGTGAGTTTAAGTTTAAGTGAGCACTTTGTCATCCAGTCGTGGTGGGCAAAAACCCCAGGAATTGCCAGACACAGCTTGGATAAAATAAGGGCTGTGGATAGAGGGGAGAAGGGGGAAAAAAAAAACCCAAAACCAAAAAAACCCAAACAAACCAAGAAAACCCCCCCACAATTCCCTTTAAAAGGAAGAAATAGTTGGAAACCTCTAAATTGGGGGGTAAAAAGGAAAAGAAAGCATTTATGAAAAAGTATCAAGAAAGATTTGAAGACTTAGTACAGAAAATGGGAGAGCCGTAACGGGCAGGAAAAAAGGTTTACAGCACAGTGGTAATTTAACCTGTGGTGTTAAATAACATCAGGTGAAGCAAGCGGGGCAGAAGCAGAAGGAGTGTCAAAGACTTAGATTAAGTGAGTAATAGAAGAAACTCACACAGTGCTGTCATTGCACACAGGGCAAATGGAAACTGCTCCAAGACTGCAATAATAATTGCAGCAATATATACAGCAATAGCTACACATCCACAAACCATTCATAGAAACACTCGCTGAGAAGCCTGCAGTTCATCGGCTGCCCGCAGCGTATATAAACCAACAAACACTATTTCAACGGTTTCTGAAACGAGCACACCTCCAACACTAACGCTGCATCTGCTATACCTGAAGGCTGCTCCCTTTTAGGATCACAGCTACGTAACCACTACAGGTTCCTCGAGTGCTCGTGACACCTCGCTCCCCCCGCAGCGCTTGGCTCTGTCAGTACCACCCATCCCAAAGGATCGACAGCAGAATGTCATCTTCCACTTACACAGCTCCCAGCATAAATCCAAACAGCTACACATACAGGGAGACAAGTCAGGGGAGGCAGGTTTGTCAGCATATTAAGAATCTTTCGCCTCAGGAGGAAAAAAGAGAAGTCACTCCCACAATCCCCTCAGGCATGCTAATTTAACAGGAGCGAAAATTAAGGAGGAAACTCCTGGCACAAAAATCAAAGGAAGTGCTTAGGTTCCCAGTCCCATTCCTCTTCCTTAAACTCACAGGGAGACCGAGGGAGTGCAAACACCTCATCGCAGGTAAGAGGCTAAATATTCAATCTGAGCCATGGTCCCCAGGAAAACCTTCACACTCTCATCAAAACAGAAAACTGCATGTGCCTCCCACATTCATTTTATTTTCAATTAAGGCTTATTGGAAAACACGTGTACCCAGCACATTTTAAGAGATAAAAAGAAAAGAGTGCTAACCTGATAAACACGTCATCAGTCCCAAGGCGAGCATAGCACCAGCCAGTACAGTCAGACGGTTGTATCGCATGGCCATGATGGCTGCAATGAAGAAGGTCTTGTCCCCCAGCTCTGAGACGATGATGACCGATATCGCAGCCACAAACGCATGAATAAAGCCCAAATTAGTCTTGTCAGCTGACTCTTCATTGACAATGTGAACTGGAACAATCGGTGAGGACCCTTTCTGTAGGAGGGGGCATGAAAAAAAACCCACTAGTTAATGAGGCGTGAATAGTTAGTTTGCAGATGTACTGAGCCTTGGATTTCTCCTGTCATATCGTAACACACAGTGTGACATTTGTCGTCTACACCTCTCACCCAGCACTAATGATCATTAACCAGCTACTCGCTGCCGCCTACCTCAAACTGCTAGTCAGGCACTTTGCAAGAAGATCAGACCATGTGCTGGTTATTAAAGCAGAACTTCACCGTGCAGACTACTGCCGGGACACGAGAAACGCTGTTACAACAAAGCATGGGGAGAACTGCTTCAGTTCAGCTCCAATATTGCTGCGTTTACAATCCCTGGCTATTTACTTCATGACCTTGACCAAACAAGCAATTTGCTGACATACAGACTAAGAACTAAGACTCTTTAAAACTGGGTGACAAGGATAGCATAGCAGAAATATAAAGTCCTTTCAAAAACTCTCAGGATCGCTTTCTTCCCTTGCAGACTCTTCCCATCTCAGCCGCATTACTATTTCACACAAGTTTTTAAGGAAGCTGGGGGGGACTTTTTACAAGGGCCTGTAGTGACAGGACAAGGGGTAACGGGTTTAAATTGAAAGTGGGGAGGTTTAGATTAGATATCAGGAAGAAGTTCTTCCCGGAGAGGGTGGTGAGGCACTGGGACAGGTTGCCCAGAGAAGCTGTGGATGCCCCATCCCTGGAAATGTCCAAGGCCAGGCTGGATGAGACTTGGAGCAACCTGGTCTAGTGGAAGGTGTCCCTGCCCATGGCAGGGGGGTTGGAACTGGATGCTCTTTTAGTTCCCTTTCCAGCCCAAACCATTCTGTGGTTCTATTATTCACCAGCTTTTTTTGTACACGCTCTACGCTTGTTTGAGATCATCTTTAAGGCTTTCCAGCGGTCCAACCGGAGCAGCACACGCCCGATCCCCCTCACCCACCGGAGCGTCTACTTTTACGCAGATCACCGACAGTGAAAAGTAAGACCCAAACCAAGGAAGTCGATGCCCGTGTGTTTGATGAGAAATGGCCAATAAAGCCTGTTTCAGCACATCCACCCGCAGAAACGGATCGCGACGTGTTTCAACACGGCGACCTCCCGGCATTCCGCAGTGCTCCAAGTTGTTGGGTTTGGTATTTTAAAAGTTTCCGTGCTCTCTCCGACAGACGCTGACTTCCCAGAGCTGTTCGCCTTTAGCAGCACTCTGAGTGTCTGGGTTTGACACCCAAACCCTGGCGCGCTCTACGTGCTAATCAAGCTGTACGTTAATGGCTTATTAATCAAGCTGTGCGTTAATGGCTTGTTCATCCCTAATTGATGACCCGGCACTAGAACCCCCAACCACCTCAGGCCGTCCCGCAGCTTCCCCTCGGGCCCCTAGAAGAAGGGGAATTTAGGATCCCGGTGGCCTCCCAGAGGCCGTGCCCGCCCCACCGACCGAGCGCTGCCGCGGGGGCCGAGC